AGCCAGTGACACGCGGGTCTTTCGAGGCCGCTCGAGTTAGTTGTCTGCGATAGGTGGTGATTTTTTTCCGAGCACACCATTCGCGGGAAGGTAGTCTTTGAAGGTGTTGACTGACTCCTGATAAATGGCGTTCAGAGCTTGTCAGAGGATTTCCTGTCGAGGTCCTGACTGCAGTGTTCTGACAAGCCTGTAACTTTTTCATCTGCGTCTCGGCGTCCAGATCGGTGCAGTATAGCTTACAACCGGCCGGCCAAATGCTTTATAAGTTGCCAACGAGTTTGCTTTATCTGTACCCCAGGTGCTGCCGGCTAACGCTCTGAGTAGTTTCTTCCGACTCTGGAGTTTTGCAGCAATTCCGGAGTAAAGAAATTCAGGGTGTCGAATGTGACTCCCAGTATTTTGAGGTTATTTATGGTCGGAATTTTCGTGTAATCGATCTTCACATCCAAAATGTAGAAATTTAACAACAGTGGTGAGAGGACACCATCCAGTGGAACACTTTTTTTTTAGTTTCGATGTTGCATCTCGAAATATTACCGATGATTGTCGACCGCTCAGGTCATGTGTACCGTGGGTATATGCTAAATTAATTTTTAAATTGTTTTTTTTATACCCTTTCGTTTCTCTCACCCTTGGTTTAATCTTATTATTTCTTTTTGAAAAAAAAGAAATAAAATACAACCCTGTGTAAGACACTGAACACAGCCAAGATCATATGTATAGGTTTATCGAATCATCGGAAACTGAATGAAAACTTAATTTGAAGATCAATACGATTTCGGAAAAACTTTTCTCTTTCTTTTTCCGAATCAAACCGCTGAGGAGTGAAGACCGCTAGGAGCATTAAATAATAGTGTTATATAAAATTGCAAAACCGTCTAAAGAAAAAAGTAAGTGCTTAAAAGAAGTTTTATTGCTGCATCTTTGGCGTCATACACTCAGTGCCAGTTTTCGAAGAACATTTTCGACAAAAAAAAAGGAAAAAAAAAGTCTTTTGGGCGTCCAATAGTTCACCATAAAGCGATATTGGATTTTGATGAAGCATGGCGTTTACGTACGAGAATAATCACGTGTTCACAAGACCACATTTTGGTTATGCTGCTGCATCGACTCCTTGGTGACCGCGAATTAACTTTTTAACTTGAATCGTTAACATGAAAGAAAATAAAAAGAATAAGCTAACTTAATTCGTTAAAATAATAAGCATTAGTATACTTACTCTTACATTCAAAGTAAAAAAATTCTTTCATACTTACTTTATACTTAAACTAAATGTTATTTAGTGAATAAGTCACATTTTATTCAGAATCAGAATCATCACTTTACTTATTTTAATACTTACGTTTTTATTTCATAATTATAAAGCGGGCATACGCTTAGGTACATAACCGCATCAGGTTGTATATATGTAGATACCGCATGGATTCAAAAATTGTTTGTAAGCCTTAATTTGCTCAAGTATACATATGCTGTGTATATATATATGTGCATATACATGTATATATATTTATATCAATATGCACTCTCCAATGCTAACGAATTTTTAGCATATTGAAGGAGAGCATTATGAAAGAATACAGTAATCGCTAAAAGAATAGATTAAATTTTGAATGCCAGATCACTCTTGATCAAAAGTTATGTATTCAATTTTTTTTTACATAATATACAATCCATTATATCGTGAGTTTAAGATATAGAAATTCACAAATAAATACAAGAAAAATAATTATTATACTAAAAGAAAAAAAAAACATAAAAGGATTAGCACTCGGCAGCAGCAACAAAGCAAGGAGGCCTCTTCGCTTCGTGGGACATGCCAAAGTGAGTAAATTCGTTTCCATTAGTACTCATTTTTAATAACTTTATTATTATATTGAAATCGATATGTATGTCTACATATATTGATATATATGTGCTCATACATATGCATCGAAGTATGTATGTTCATGAGGGTGTAATTGTTTAGAGGGAATAATTTTGACTCTCAGAGTTTATAATATTGCGATTTTGACAAACATGCATAAGAATATATATATATGTATATACGTTGAACTATTTTTTTTTCTCATTTTCTTTATATATATATTTTTTTTTTTCTCATTTTCTTTATATATATATTTTCTTTTTCTTTCGTACCCTTTAAGTATGTAGATACGTACATATATATGTGCCTATGTGAGCAAATGAAGGTCAGTGATCCCATCGTTGAGGTAGGTCATGCCCTTATTTAGCAGTTACACCTCAAAGTAGAAGTTAGTACAAAGTTATGTTAAGATTAATCTAATTAAAATATAAAGTTAGATTATTGCACTGTTTATTAATTTTATTTATTGAAGAGATGGGTTGATTTGTCAAATAAAATTGTATAATGAATAAGTAAATTCCTCTATTTGTGGTCTGATTTCAAAGGAAGTGAGAGTGGTAAATGGGGCCCTTTTACCATCATAGGGGCCAAGGTAGGGTGGGTACAGAGCAGCCCAAGAAAACCGTTCGGAGCTGCTGGGTGATGTGAGTTATTTATAGATATATCTATGAACATAATTTTGGCAATTTAATGTCATATATTTTTTTTTGTGTGCAAACAATATTTCTTGTTTGAACTTTAGAACAGGGAGAAGGTGACTTGGTCCTGCAACTGCGTAATGACCCACCCCAGACTGAAGCTCTGGGATCTAAGCCAGTGCACACGCCGCAGTGGTAGGATTCTATCGCAAGCACCTCTGATCGTCTCTCAATCGATTCCCATGCACCCTGTTCTTTGGTCACATAACACATGATCCACCTCTGCAACCCCAATGGTAATGAGGATACCTTAATGTCCGATAGTAACACTGAATAGTTGACGGTGTCAAAAGCTTTTGACAGATCTAGTGNGCCTCTCAATCGATTCCAATGCACCCTGTTCTTTGGTCCCATAACAGAAAATGGCGCCCAACGTGGGGCCACCGAAAAGATATTTTTGAATTACTTATTTTTATCTAGGTGGCTCTATACCTTATTCCTTTTCGGAATGTCTTACCATCTGTCTGACCTATTTATTTATTTTTATTTAGTAGCACAAAGCATAAGTGGTAAATCTGGAATTTTGAGCTATTTGCTAAATGCAGATGATTTTTACCAATTTATTATATTTTATGTAAAATGCTTGAACACTTTCGTTGCGAACTATATTTTGAATTTCTGCTCAATCATACATAAATCATTTATTGGAATGTTAAATCATTTGGGCTGAATGCCTAGGGGTTTTACCCAGAATGATGGTGTGTTTAGACAACCATCTTGTTTATAGTTTTCTGTGATCTTTCAGACTTTTCAGATTAGAATTTTGTTATACTGTTAGGAGTTTTGCCAATGTAAAGTTAAATGCTTAATGGTTTACCAACAGCTTTTTCAACTTTCCCATTTTAAAAGTTCGATTTTCACCGCCTCCCTCTTATGAGATTATGTACTTTTTTATAGTTTTTATAGTTCAATCTTATCGGAATTCGTTGTGAAGATTTTACCACAACCGATATACATACAAGTAGATATTTTTTCTTACAATTGTAAAATCATTACATACTTATGTCAACAATAACTCACCACCAATTTCAACCAAATCACGACCGGAGAAACAGACCATATTGATTTTCGATAATTTTGCTTTTTGTATTGAATACCAGTTCCTACTTACGAAAATTTTTTCTATTGAAGATATTGAATAGTAAACCAAAACGAAATAAATACGAAGAAGCATATGCGTATATTTTTTATAAATTCTACTCTGTCTATATTACAATATAGTTTTGCTCTTATAAATACCAGTGCAGGCTATTTCCATCTTACGAAAATATATTAAATACGTCGTAGTGGAGAGAATTTGCCACCACAGGCTAATTCGTGTGTGATTTGCTGTGAAATTTTCGGTGACAAAGACGAGATTTTAGTAACTGTATGCTCCCATCGATTTCACAAATCGTGTCTTCTAAACTGGCTTAAACGAAACTCTACATGTCCCCAATGTCACACCAAATGTCACAGTCGCGAACTTAATCGAAATTCGGGTGTGCAAACTAGATCTCGTAATGCGCCCCAAACAATTCAACCTGTTCAAAGTAAAGATTTAGAGTGCCCTACAGAGATACAAACTAGCCAACAGCAAACCGGAGGTGCTGCAAGTTTACTTGTAAGCAATGCCAAGGAGAAGAATAATGACAACAATGACGAAGACAACAGGATTCGTAATATTGTTTCTGCAGTAATTTCGGCTAGGAATGCTACCATATTTAGCAATTTAGATGATCGTATATCGCTATTATTAGAACAAAAGCTTGAAGCAGCTATGACAAATTTGTTTGAGCGCTTAAACTTGAATTCACAGCCAGCTCAACCAGCTGTTAATCGCAGTCCTGATGCAAGTGTTCCCCAAATAAATATGCCTCGAAACAATTCAACCCCAGTTTGGCCCACAGATGCTAATAATTTCGCAATCAATCAAGACTTTCCTAACCAGATTGACCAATTTCGTTTTAGTAACATATCAAGTGTTCCGAACTCCGGTAGAGTCGCTCAATTGATATCTAACTGGGACATAAAATTTGACGGTTCTCCAAAACTTTCAGTTGACAGTTTTTTGTATCGAATAGAATGCCAAGTTACAGATACGTTGTGTGGTAACTATAATTTGCTTTGCGAACACATTCAAAGCTTGTTCTTGAATGAAGCAAAGGATTGGTATTGGCGATATCGCCGTACCATAGAACGTGTTACCTGGCCATCCCTTTGTGAAGCGCTGCGCACAAACTTTCAGCAGCACAAGACGGATTTCGAAATAAAAGAGATAGTTCGCAGTCGAAAGCAAGGACAATATGAGTGCTTTGACGACTTTCGTAACGCGGTCATTAAACTAGCTGAACCTTTGCAGACACCTTTTACTGAATCCGAACTAATAGAAATCTTGCAATACAATTTGCGACCTCGAATTCGACAGCAGTTACTTTATGTGCAAATAAATTCTTTGGCTGAATTACGTAGGCTCTGCCTCAAAGGCGAAAGTCTGATAAACGAGATAAATAAGCCTACAAACTCAATGGCAAATACAAACTTGCGACCGCAACCACGTCGTTACATCAATGACTTAAAGGCTGAAGATAATTTATTAGCAAGCCCAGAAATTGAAATAGAAATCGATGAAATATCGAAGCAGTCAGCTAAAACCAAACAAGTATGCTGGAATTGTAGACGCGAAGGACATAGGTACTTCGATTGCCTCGAAACCAGAACTGTGTTTTGCTACGGTTGTGGTGCAACTGATACTTATCGACCGAAATGTAGTCATTGCAATCCGGAAAACTTGATAGCGAGCGAGGATCTGAGGAAGAATCCTCGCGTCGATTCAAAACCTTAAATGAAAATAAGTTGCTCCTACGCACAAAAAGTTTAATTGGAAATGCTCCGGTTATTCACAAAATTATTCCATATAAACTCCGACTTACAAATTATAACCGAATTAGAAAGAAGATATTTAACACAGACAATAAAAGCACCACTTATAGACGTTCGTCCGATCGTTGTAAACATTTCTGGAAAAGAGTTAAGAAAAACCGAAAGATTTTGAATAGGCTAATTTGTTCTACAGAACATAAAACCTTTGATATAAGACCATATGCTAAAATTACAATATTAGATTCCGAGCATTTAGGTTTGCTAGACAGCGGAGCTCAAGTCTCTTGTTTAGGTTCGTCATTAGCAAATGATGTGTGTAAACAAAAGAAGTTGCGTAAGCATACCATTTCGATTTGTACAGCGGATGGCAAGAAACAAATCGTGTATGGCACCATCGACTTGAATGTTCAATTTGAGGACAAGAATGAGGTGATTAAATTTTTTGTAGTTCCCAGTATGTCTCAAAATGTTATTTTGGGAGTCGATTTTTGGATTAAATTTAAAATAGCTCCACATATTATCTCTGAAATTTCTTTAGAGCCTACACTTGATGAGAACAGTATCATCTTAAGTATTGAGCAACAGCGTAAACTAGATTTGGTGAAAAATAAATTTCCCAGCTTCGAGAAAGAAGGACTTGGAAAAACTTCTTTAATGGAGTATGCAATAGAACTTGAACCAAATGTCCGTCCGATAAAACAGCGTTATTTCCCTATATCGCCTGCCGTGGAGAAATTAGTTCATGCAGAAATTGATGAAATGATCAAGCTAAGTGTAATCGAGGAAGCTCCTAATAGTCCATGGTCCAGTCCGGTTGTTTTAGTAAAAAAGCCAAATAAAGTCCGTCTGTGTCTTGACTCCAGAAAAATTAATAGTGTCACCGTAAAGGACGCTTATCCACTTCCTCACATTGATGGTATTTTGAGCAGAATACCAAAGGCTGAATATATTAGCTCACTTGACTTGCGCCGTGCCTTTTGGCAAATCCCTTTAGCAGAATCTTCTCGAGATTACACATGTTTCACTGTCCCTAATCGTCCGCTCTATAGATATCGTGTAATGCCTTTTGGCTTATGCAACGCCCCGCAAGCACTTTGTCGCTTGATGGACCGTGTAATCCCACCGCAATTGAAAACCCAGGTTTTCGTATACTTAGACGATCTGTTAATAGTGTCCGCAAGTTTTGACGATCATATGTCTATTCTGGCAGAGGTTGCTCACGAATTAAGAAGAGCTGGCTTAACTATTAACGTAGGCAAAAGCAAATTCTGTATCCGAGAGGTTAAATATCTTGGGTACATAGTTGGAAATGGTACGCTTCGTACCGACCCAGATAAGATATCCGCCGTCTCTAATTATCCCGTTCCTACCAGTGTGAAGCTGCTGAGAAGATTTCTCGGCATGGCCGGTTGGTACCGTCGTTTTGTGGATAATTTCGCAGCAGTAGCCACACCTCTAACGAATTTGTTGAAGAAAAGTAAGAACTTTTCTTGGAACGACGAGGCACAGAAATCACTAGATACTTTAAAGCAAATGCTATGTACGGCTCCCGTGTTAGCTAGCCCAAACTATGAAAAGCCATTCATAATTCAATGCGATGCTAGTAAGCTTGGTGTTGGTGCTGTGTTAGCTCAAAAGAACATTGACGGTATTGAAGTCCCGATAGCCTACTTCTCACAAAAATTGAATAAGGCCCAGACCAATTATAGTGTGACCGAGCTCGAATGCCTTGCCGCAATCTTAAGTCTTAAGAAATTTAGAGCTTATGTGGAGGGGCAGGACTTTACTATCGTTACAGACCATGCTAGCTTAGAATGGCTCATGCATCAGACGGATTTGTCAAGCAGATTAGCTCGATGGTCCCTCAAACTTCAAGGTTATAGATTCAAAATTGAACACCGAAAAGGAACTCTAAATATTGTCCCCGATAGCTTGTCACGTCAAAATTTCGATGAAATCGCTAGTCTTGAAGTCCTCCCGTTGGTTGACTTGCATTCGTCTGAGTTTTTGTCTGAAGAGTACAAAAAACTAATACGGTTCGTTCAGGAAAATGGAGAGAGTCTTCCCGACCTACAAATAATAGACGGTCATCTATATAAACGCACTGAACATCCCAACGGTGATCCCGATCGTGAAGCGTTTAACTGAAAGCTCTGGATACCAAAAACTTTAGTGAATTCTGTCATTGAAAATGCCCATTGTCAGCCGAATAAATGTCATGGTGGTATAGCGAAAACGCTAGAGCGATTACGACTAAATTTATATTGGCCTAATATGTCCGCTAACGTAAAGGAATATGTTAGCAAATGTGATATCTGTCGACAAAGTGAATCTACAAATATAACGCTACGACCTCCTATGATTACCCAGTACAATGTCCAGCGCCCTTTTCAGAAGCTTTATATCGACCTAATAGGCCCATATCCGAGGTCTAAAAAGGGAAACATAGGAATACTAATCGTATTAGATCATGTAACAAAATATCCGTTGTTAAAGGAAATTAAAAATTTTAATGCTAATCCAGTTTTGTGATTACTTAAAAGAGTTATTTAGCCTCTTTGGAACACCTGAAATTATATTAAGTGATAATGGTAAACAATTTAAATCCCAACAATTCAATGCTCTCCTAACAGATCGTGGAGTTAGGCATGTTTTCACCGCTCTTTATAGTCCACAAGCAAATGCGAGTGAAAGGGTTAACCGGTCCATAATAGCTAGATTCAGGACTTATCTAAAAAACGATCAAACGCATTGGGATAGACATTTGATTGACATTGCTGAAGCGCTAAGAACCTCACATCATCAGTCTATTGGATGTTCACCTTATTTCGCGCTTTCGGTCACGCGGATGAGTACAAACTATTACAACATTCTTAGTCGTAATGATAAATTAAACTTCATTCGAAAGACCGTTATGAACAATATTGCGCGAGCTTTTGAAAATTCAGCTAAGCGATACAATCTCAGAAGTACGATCAAAAACTTCAAAATAGGTGATATAGTTTTTCGACGAAATTTCACACAAAGTGATGCCGCAAAGAAATTTTGCGCGAAACTTGCCCCTAAATTCATTAAAGCAAAAGTCTTAAGCTTAAAAGGAAATTGCATGTACGAGCTTGAGGATTGTCTAAATAGGAAACGAGCTATTTATCATCGTAAAGATATACAAAAGGCGATATGTTGAATTTACACCGCACCAACACTGTAGGTGGGGGGGTGTGTACCGTGGGTACATGTTAAATTAATTTTAAAATTGTTTTTTTATACCCTTTCGTTTCTCTCACCCTTGGTTTGATCTTATTATTTCTTTTTGAAAAAAAAGGAATAAANTAAAGTTAAATGCTTAATGGTTTACCAACAGCTTTTTCAACTTTCCCATTTTAAAAGTTCGATTTTCACCGCCACCCTCTTATGAGATTATGTACTCTTTTATAGTTTTTATAGTTCAATCTTATCAGAATTCGTTGTGAAGATTTTACCACAACCGATATACATACAAGTAGATATTTTTTCTTACAATTGTAAAATCATTACATACTTATGTCAACAATAACTCACCACCAATTTCAACCAAATCACGACCGGAGAAACAGACCATATTGATTTTCGATAATTTTGCTTTTTGTATTGAATACCAGTTCCTACTTACGAAAATTTTTTCTATTGAAGATATTGAATAGTAAACCAAAACGAAATAAATACGAAGAAGCATATGCATATATTTTTTATAAATTCTACTCTGTCTACATAACAATATAGTTTTGCTCTTATAAATACCAGTGCAGGCTATTTCCATCTTATGAAAATATATTAAATGCGTATACATCTTTTAGTTAATTATTCCTAACATATGAAAATGTCACAGCGTCGTAGTGGAGAGAATTTGCCACCACAGGCTAACTCGTGTGTGATTTGCTGTGAAATTTTCGGTGACAAAGACGAGATTTTAGTAACTGTATGCTCCCATCGATTTCACAAATCGTGTCTACTAAACTAGCTTAAACGAAACTCTACATGTCCCCAATGTCACACCAAATGTCACAGTCGCGAACTTAATCGAAATTCGGGTGTGCAAACTAGATCTCGTAATGCGCCCCAAACAATTCAACCTGTTCAAAGTAAAGATTTAGAGTTCCCTACAGAGATACAAACTAGCCAACGGCAAACCGGAGGTGTTGCAAGTTTACTTGTAAGCAATGCCAAGGAGAAGAATAATGACAACAATGACGAAGACAACAGGATTCGTAATATTGTTTCTGCAGTAATTTCGGCTAGGAATGCTACCATAATTAACAATTTAGATGATCGTATATCGCTATTATTAGAACAAAAGCTTGAAGCAGCTATGACAAATTTGTTTGAGCGCTTAAACTTGAATTCACAGCCAGCTCAATCAGCTGTTAATCGCAGTCCTGATGCAAGTGTTCCCCAAATAAATATGCCTCGAAACAATTCAACCCCAGTTTGGCCCACAGATGCTAATAATTTCGCAATGAATCAAGACTTTCCTAACCAGATTGACCAATTTCGTTTTAGTAACATATCAAGTGTTCCGAACTCCGGTAGAGTCGCTCAATTGATATCTAACTGGGACATAAAATTTGACGGTTCACCAAAACTTTCAGTTGACAGTTTTTTGTATCGAATAGAATCCCAAGTTACAGATACGTTGTGTGGTAACTATAATTTGCTTTGCGAACACATTCAAAGCTTGTTCTTGAATGAAGCAAAGGATTGGTATTGGCGATATCGCCGTACCGTAGAACGTGTTATCTGGCCATCCCTTTGTGAAGCGCTGCGCACAAACTTTCAGCAGCACAAGACGGATTTCGAAATAAAAGAGATAGTTCGCAGTCGAAAGCAAGGACAATACGAGTGCTTTGATGACTTTCGTAACGCGGTCATTACACTAGCTGAACCTCTGCAGACACCTTTTACTGAATCCGAACTAATAGAAATCTTGCAACACAATTTGCGACCTCGAATTCGACAGCAGTTACTTTACGTGCAAATAAATTCTTTGGCTGAATTACGTAGGCCCTGCCTCAAAGGCGAAAGTCTGACAAATGAGATAAATAAGCCTACAAACTCAATGGCAAATACAAACTTGCGACCGCAACCACGTCGTTACATCAATGACTTAAAGGCTGAAGATAATTTATTAGCAAGCCCAGAAATTGAAATAGAAATCGATGAAATATCGAAGCAGTCAGCTAAAACCAAACAAGTATACTGGAATTGTAGACGC